GGACTTGTGTTGCTAAAGTTTCGTCGGAACGAAGTTACGGAAAATTAATTAACGAACGGAGACGTAACAATACAGAACAACACCTAACAATTATAAAACAGTATATAAAAAAAATACACCAAAGATTTAACATTAAATAAATCACTGAGTACAAATGCATGCAAACACCAAAATAGTTATTTCACATACACAGAGGCTAGAAGATAATATGAGGAATTATGTTTCAACAGCAATTTTCATGAACTTGTATTTGAATGACTTTTTGGGTTCTTTTTCAATGTTTTTGTTTGTTATTAAACACAAAGCTACACAACGGGCTATCTATGCTGTGTCTACCATGGGTACTGAAACCTGATTTTTGGGTTATAAGTCCACAACCAATGAGCCGTTGGGGGCCACCCAGAGGAAAGAAACTCTTCTTGTGTATTTTCCCTATTTTTCTGACCTATTTGCTACTCGTCTCTTGTTCGTTAAAATGGACACTTGATCCTGTTTTAACAGTTTGAGATAATTCTTCTTCGGGTCTTTGACTGCCTCATTCTCATCTAATCTCACTTTGTATTTTCTTACTTTCAGCTTCTGAGCTTCTTCCTCTCCATTTGTTGAAGATACCTTTTATTTTTTGTATTTTTACTTCAATTTTTAGTCTCAAGTCTATGGGTATATGAGCCAATCTTCAAAGTTTAGAAAATTTCCTCATTATAAGCACACTGTGAGTAGATGTCCCAAATATAGCAAGAACATCTTTGGTTTATTGGAGGGCACTACCAGACAGTTTTCTCACTTGGTAAAACTCCCATCAAAACTGATTTCACAACCATGACTGATGTCAGATATCTAATTTCAACAAGAGCACTAAAGTTGGGCCACTTAATTGATTTATCAATGTAGTCAAGTATCTATGAGCAGCAATTACACTGATTAGTGTCACCTAAACTACCCAAACTACTTGAAGCACATAATCAGGGTTGTCAGTAGGGTAGCACAGTGAAGAGGAAAAAGCACTTTAGTGTCAATGAAGAGTTTTATTTAAAATGTGCACTATATGTTTACCTTCTGTTAGTGGAAAAGAGCATGTTAATGTTCAATGAAAAACTTCATTTACAATTTACACTGCATGTTTTTTTCCTTTATGAATACAAAGTAATGTTCTTGATAAGATTAACAATACTTTGCTTCATCTGAAACTTTTCAAATATTTGCATAACCATCAGAAAAGGATCTGAGATAGCATACTTACACTTATTCACTCGATGGAGACCAGTACCTGACTTCTTAACTTTTGTTGGATATCTCATTATACACAATGTTAAAAAAGTCTATTTCACAGACACAAAACTTCTTGAATAGAGAAAGCAATGGGAGGTTTTTAGTTCTGTTGCACCATTAACGTGTCCATAGAAATTTGATCTTCCCAACCACTTTTGGTCACATAGTGTAAAACTTTTTTGGAATTGTTTTGCCTAGTTTTTAACATTTGCTGCATTTGGAAAAAATCATATAAACTACTGTCTACAGTCTGCAGTGATAACTACATGTAATAGTGCAGTCCTTAATATTTGAAAAATGCATGAGGGCTGTAAACAACCCCCACCAAAAAGTACACAGGGGCTGTTAATAGGGTGATGTCATATTTTGATCCTTTGTTTACAGACATAGACAACAAAAGTTAATGTGTATTGAATTGTACTGTCTTTTTTTTATCAACAAAACAGTTTTGCTGGCTAAACTGTGTCAAGTTCACAGCTTGCCACAAAACTATGAAGAACTCTGATCAATATGGCAACCCTTGCAGCCACATGACATGCAGAAAGTAGTTTATCAAAGGCAAAAACTCATCTTGCTCATCTGAATTTGCTAATAATTAAAATTCAATTTTGTAATTTAAACTTTAAGTCATTAACTTAGTTGTTCAGTTACAAATACTTGTGTCTACATACAACGTAGTTTGAAAATATCATATTACTGCACATTTAACATTGTTAATCTAGGCCAATTAAAATTAAAATACTGGTGTCATAGCAGGCAAAAGGGTCACACAAAATTATCTGTGAGCTTGTCTGTGTATACAAATAACAGCTGATTGCATGGTTACTACCATGACAAATAGTAGGACCTGAATTCAAAAGAACATATTTTCTTGATAAAATTGGTGGGGGCTCTAACAAGTCCTTGCAAAACTCATTTTATAGATGCATTTGAGTATGATGTAATAGTGCCCGTCAAACGTAAACGACTGCTAGTGATCAAATAAAATCCTTAGAGTGAAAGAATACCAAACATCTGAATAGATGTTTATAAACTATGATCAATCATATCTGGACAAATACATCAAGTTAAACACATAAGCTGAATAAGTGACATGAAATTGAAGTGCAATAAACATGAAAGTGTGTTTCAATACAACACATAATCTTGGGAAAGTTCACAAAATAATCAGAAATAAATACAAAGCATGTTTGGTGGTGCTCTGGATACAAGGGTTACATATCCTTTCAGCCTTTTGTAACAAAATGTATAAAAATTTTTAAAGCCCTCAGTTTCAGTTTTTATGTCAGGTCTCAATTTGAACCAGGTGCACCCCCTTCTCCTGGGCCTTGTATAAACATAGACATGCATATTGTGACAAAAGTCTGTCAAAGCTTTCACCTTTGCAAAGAAGTAACAAGTAACCATGATCAGTGATAAAGGTGAATATTTAATTTTTTTTTCCCGGGTACCACCATGGCATGCACATTTCAGAATGAAGAACATCAGATATTCATCAATTAAAAACAACGGAAGCACTCAATAAACCACTTCTATAAATCAGAATACTCCTCAAAACAATTTTATCAATATTTCTCTAAAGCATTTCCAAAGTTGTAACTTCATAGTTAGCCAAACGTCCATTTTAACATTTTTTCAGTAAGTTAAACAACAAGTAAAATAACTGAGTTTTAATTGAGATACCCAATAATTGATCCTTCAGAATATATACAAAGAAGATGACTTTTATTCTCAAGCACTGGAAGCACAACAGTTACTTCAGATTCATGCCCGTCATTATTTTTTTTTTACATAATACCAGAAATAGAATGGTTCCTTGCCAATTTAAAATACACCAACAGAAAAAAAAAGGTACAGCTTTTTCTACACATGGCAGCAAGCTGGCAGGTATCATTTACTTATTACATGAAAAGGAATGTGGCCATTAATAGAAACAACATATTGTTGAATGTATCTTCACTATTCATTACAGTGGTACTCGTACCCTAGCCCACCTATTCTGATATCTTCACTATTCATTACAGTGGTACTCGTACCCTAGACCATCTATTCTGATATCTGCACTATTCATTACAGTGGTACTCTTACCATAGACCACCTATTATGATATCTGCACTATTCATTACAGTGGTACTCTTACCATAGACCACCTATTATGATATCTGCACTATTCATTACAGTGGTACTCTTACCATAGACCACCTATTATGATATCTGCACTATTCATTACAGTGGTACTCTTACCATAGACCACCTATTATGATATCTGCACTATTCATTACAGTGGTACTCTTACCATAGACCACCTATTCTGATATCTGCATTATTCATTACAGTGGTACTCGTACCCTAGACCATCTATTCTGATATCTGCACTATTCACTACAGTGGTACTCATCCTCTATACCATCTATTCTGATCCATAAAAGCTCAAGAAACTGCTATTTATGTAATT